TAGTCTGTACAATCAGATACCGCATTTCTTCCCCCTGAAGACACTGACAAAGCTGTTAGGACTCCCATTACAGTGCCCCGAGATGAGCCTGGAAGATGATGCTCTCATTAGACCCTCTCTCATGGGCCCCCTCACAGTTATCTGTGCAAGCTTGCTCCAGTAGTTTTCATCCTTCTACAGCCATCTGTAACTGGTTTCCTTCAGAAACTTGGAATTTTTTAAATGATATGCATCCAGAAGATGGAGATGCAGGTTCCTTGCAGAAAAAAGAAAACAAGCTCTTCTTGCACATTAGGCTACTACTGCGCATTCTGCACAGTTTACACAAAATTGGATTTTAAAAAAGACATAGGGCTATTCCCTTAGTTACATGGTTGAAATTCAGGGAAATTTCACTTTTGTCAGATTTACATGGGAATAAGGGTAGAATACAGACAGAAGTGCTACAGGGCTGAAGAAAGAAACAGATCCGAACTTGAATGTATGGCTGCATATATTTAACTGCTTACCAAAACAATCGGCCATTATTGAGGGAGAAGAAGGATTTCCTAAGTCTTGCTCAAGAAAGCAAATTTCAGTGTCACAAGTTCCCTCTGCAAAGTAAGTTAGATAAAAGGTTTTGAAGTGTTTGCAACAAGCTTGTAAAAAAACTAAAGAACAAAAAACCCTCTGAACTAAAAAACCCTCCTGGAACTCATGCATCATGAGGAGCTAAGTTTTTGTTTTGTTTTGCTTGTGTGTTTGTTTTTTTTTTCTTTTTCAAAAAGGACACCACGAAAGCTGTACTATGAAGAACTAAACAATTTGCAAGAAATTGGATGAATTTATGTACAAATGGTTCATAGTAACCAACAGCCATATCCTTAGCTGATGAAAACTGGTAAAATGTCGTTGGCTTGTGTGGAACGGCACAAATTCACAAAAGGCCTTGCACACAGCCACGTACTTCAGCACAGGACTATCTTGAAAGACCACCTGGTCAGTTACCTAAAAGCTAATGTAAGTAGGGTCTTACTATATTTTAAGAATCTGAACAAGCCAAAGATCTGGTCTCCTTTTTGTTCCTTTTTTCCTGATTACTATAATAATTTTAATTAGATGGCTTATAAAAACTTGCCATTTCCTTTACATTTTTAATAGCTATGTCTTCTGAACAAAACCCCACTTTTGGGAAAAAGTATTTCTTCCCCATAGCAGTGATGGGGTACTCCACACAAAGAAGCACCTAGCGGTTTAGTTCACATTTTTTAATAACATGGCACAATTTACATTACACAAGTCTTCGCTGATGAGGAAACATGCTGAAGATTGAGAGCCGCTTCACTTTTCTTTTCACATAGGATCTAGAAAGGACTTTATTACATACAGGATAAACAGCAAAAAGGTTCGTATATAACAATCTCTTTACAATACTGAAAACTACCACTACGGTTCCAGTGTACATATTCTTCAGGGTTGGGTTTTTTTTTGTATTTTTCCTTTTGTTCTTAAAAAAAAAAAAACACTGCACAACATCTGGAGTTCACAAAATCTGAAGCTCACAACTAAACCTTCAGTTGACTACTAAAATAGATCTCTGATCATTAGAAACAACTGTCTGTAGTTAACTTTTTCTTTTTTTTTTTTTTTTTGCCAAAACAGGATAACAACTTCAGATAGCACTTTAATACACTAGAAGACCAATGGAACTAATTTTATTTCATACATATATTTTACAGTCCAGTAGACAAGATATTGAATTCTCTCTGATAAAGTCATATTCTCTCCAAATATTTAGACAAGAAACTTAACGCATTATAAAAAAGTGTGTTATGAAAAGACAGATTTCAGAAGATTGATGCATATTTTTAAAAAGGACCATGTTCTTCATGTTATTTCATGTCTTCTATGATTAGGGAACAACAAGGCTGACCCTGTTAACTATTCACAGACTTTATTACCAACTGAAATACAATAAATTGCATTATGAAATCTGCATCGGAGTTCATTAATTAACTACTGATCCACAGTGAAAACATATCCATCATTTAGAAAAGTATTAGCTTTCTTGTAGGATTTGTTTCAACGTAGCTAAAAATCACTTAACAAAAAAAAAAAAAGTGTGTGTACAGAGAACGACGACACACTGGCAATAAAACCAGACATGAATGGCTATAAGCAGATGTTCTTCCAAAAATAAATTTGACACGTGAAGCGATGAAAGTTCTGGAAAATATCCAGCATTTGATTATTACTGTCTTTAACCCAGATTAACATGACTGAGAAGCAATCTGTCATGGCTACAGTATCCGTGATCACGGATCGCTAACGCATCCTAAGGAATACATGAGCTACAGTAACATCAGCATTGTGGTGCAGGTGTTCAGGCAGAAAACTACACTTCTAACGGGCTCTTTCTTCATCAAAACAAGCAAGAGAAGCAGGTTTCTATTATAGATGAGCTTGTTCAGGGAAAATATGACTTTAATTATGTTGTGTGTTGAAAAGGCTCCTTTGAGTTATAAAGGCTTTTGTGAAAAGCCTTAAAATTCATTGCATAGTTGAAGGGGTTTAGCTGTCTATAACAATATATGTAACACAGCATAAGCAGACTGTGTTGATCAATATTAAGTTTGCAAATAGCACAGTTTAAGAAGTATTAATGTATTATGTCACTTAATTTTATCTATTTACATTTGTACAAAGTAAAGCTTTCATCTTACCCTTTTTGCATATATGAACCATTAACCCATGAAGCAATCTTTTTACATAAATATCTACAATTGTCTTCACTTCTCGTCTGAAAGAGCTTTGTACGGTTGACATTGGTGGTGGTTTGTGTCTAGGCAAATCAATCAGATTAATGTCTTGTTCTTCAGTTCAAATTTTGAAATTTTTAAACTAGAAATAAAATAGAGTAGGAGACACGAGGAACATATGGACTTGGCTAAAAGATCTGGAAAATTTCAACATATAATATACAAAAGAACCATTTCAAAATCTTTGCACTCAGGTCTATACATACTGTACAGTGGGTCGCATCCCAGTCTGTATCAACGACTAGTAAGAAGGTCTTTATATTATGTTCATTTACAACGTTCTGTCCCTCTTTCTCTGGTTTTTATTTAGCCTCACTCTGCTTATCGAGCTTCAATGTCCTTGAGGGTGTGAGAAGGAGGCCTCTCTCTCATCTCTGTTGACAGAGGAGTAGTCCTTCTGGGAGACCCGGGCCGAGGTCCCAGAGTAGAAATAAGAGGTGGAGGGGCACTGAGAGCTGCTGTGGGGGGAGTTTTATTGAGGATGCCATTTTGGTGTCCTGTCGGGGGACTCACTCTGGGGTAGTGCATGCTAGGAAGTCCTGGTGTGATGAGGCTTGGGTGAGGCAGGTGCCCATCCAAGGCGGCAGGGTGAACTGAGTGCAGGCGTGCATGTTCATAGTCCTCTCTGAGCATGTGCAACCGCTCCCTATCATCCAAGTGGTTACCTCTCTCATGCTCACGCCGAGGGTCAACAGAGAGAGGGTGGTGGTGATGGTGGTGGTGATTGTAGTCGTGAGGCTCTCGATCCCTGAATGACCTGTCTGCTTCATATAATCTTGGCGTGGAAAGACGATGAAGGGGGTCATTTCTTAGCAAAAAGTCTCTGCCCAGGGGGTCTCTCCGATGAATATCTAGCTCTCTGTAAGGATCTCTTAAGGGATCTCTCATTGGATCCCAGTGGAAAGAAGGATAGGGGAAACGTTCTCCACCAGGAATTGGGCTAATTCCCATAAAAGGGGTCATCATGCGAGTCCTATCCAGGCCACTGATGCTGTTCATGTGATGTATACCGGTTACACCTACAGTCATGGGCATAGACACTAACGGACTTGGATGGACATTAGATGTAGATATAGGTGGTGGCTGATCAGATGACCTATGAGTCTGAGGTCCCTCAGGTTGAACGTCATGGTCTTCCTTTCGCTCCTCCTTCACTTTCACTTCATTGCTTTTCTTCGGATTATCGTACGCCGGCTCATTCTTCCTCTCGGCCTCGCGGTTTGAAGTACTATTTGGCCTGGTGCTCTCCACAACGGGGGGCCTAGCATAGGGTGAAGGAACCCTGGGCATTTGCTTAGACTCTTCCACCACTCGGCTTTCATGGCTCAGGCCTTCTTTCTCCGAAATATAGTTGTCCTTCACCTTGTGCTCTTCAACATTAATTTCCTTCCGAGATTCGGAGTGATCTCTCTCTCGTTCTTTGGGTTTCTCTTTTTCTCGAACCTCGGGATTCAGATGGCTCCTGATCTGCTCATTTGAGCTGCGGTTATGTCCGAGGGAGTTTACTGGATGGATAGGTGCTGGCGAAGGATGGCTGGAGTGTCTTTTCTCAATGCTCTCCCTAGAAGAAAAAGAAGCGTAAAAATGAAGGCATGAGAAACTGCAAATAAAACAAAGCATCTAGGGTGTCTGACTTCATACTTGTTGCTTTGCAGAAAGCTGGTAACATGCACCATTAAATGTTCCTTTTGCACACCAAAACATGAGAAGAACATCCCATCTCAAAACTAGGCCTATTCTATTATCTCAACCCAGGAGAAGATCATCCCCGAAGCTGCTTTGTGAATGATCTAATTGAGATTTCAAACCCTGAAGTCCACAGAAGGCTCCCAGGCAATCCAGCTCTAGTACACACATTTCTAAGACAGAGGCCTTAATTGTTTGCCAAGAAGAGAGAGAAAAATAAACTCATACTAATTTCATCCAAAAAAAAAAGGTGAGGCAATTAAATCCGAATTACATGGTTAATAGTATTTTACCTGCTGCTTCTATTAGGAAAACGTTCGGGAAAACAGATGACATTTTGTTCCACTGACTTCTTAAAACATTTCTGGACCTATGTACATTACTAATTTCTTATCTCTATTCTCCTCAACCTTCTAGATCTTCAATTTACTTCTCGCAATTCAATTTACTTCTTAAAGGTGAAAACAAAACCCTCTCAGGATACCAGCACTGATGGACACAATCCAACTCTCTGAAGGGGCAGGCACTTATCTAAGTGTGCAGTAAGCCTCAGCGTGGGTGTTTTAATAGGGGCAGCCATCATGCACAGATTATGTGACGACTTCCTCAGCAGCGATCTGTCTACCCTCCATGCCCATCATTCAGGCTAGCTCTGAAAGCATCATCTCGTTGGAGTAAGTTGCTCTTCAGATTACCAACCCTCTCCCATTTCTAGGGTAGAGAAAGCAGAGCAGGGAGAGGGCCAGTGCATCTCCCTGCCAATGCTAGGAAGTCTCAAAATACTGTGAATTCATTCCATCTTTCAAACCTATTTATGTTGCACAAAAGATTAGAGAATTACTGCCTGGCAGTGGACAAAAACCTAAATATGTGAATGGATTCTGTACCGACTATTTTCTGGAAGCAGTGTTGACCAGGAGTTGTTATGGGCAACACTAAGTGAAAAAGATTTCCTATTTAAAATGAATCAAATTCATAAGGTAAATCTAATTCCTCACTTCCAATTATTTTAACCTCTCAGTAATTTCAGTTGATCTCTGAGTTGGAGTCTCTCCATTAAGACAGCTCCAGATATTCAGTGTTGGACACATGTTGTTCGCTGAGCACGGAAATTCTGTTTCATGTGGGGTGATGGACAATGTGCTGTTAAAGGCTACAGCGAGGGATAAGCAGCAAGGCCCTCTGAAGTCCCAAGCAGCTCCAGTTTACATGGTCTCTCTTCAGGTGCTACAGTCTCTGTTAGCAAAGTATAACCTGAACATGCTCAGATGAGGACAGCAGGTTGAAACTCACTCTGGGCAAGAAGAGCAGCACTGGCTGGCTGAAGAGCAACTTGGAGTATGATTTTGAAGTGGACACTCGTCCTTCACCTATACAATTTCTGCTACCTACTTTTTTGCTGAGCTGAACTGTGTAAGATTTCTACCTGAAACTGCAGCAACTGCAGAAAAAACATCTTTGAAAAGGAAACTCTCATTATTATAACCTCACCAAGTTATATTAACCTCTCCGGATGCTTCTTTTGCTGTGTCTAGACTGAATTTTTGAAACTGTCATTTTATGGGCCATGTCTGAGAGTCCAGAATGTCACTGTTATACAACATTTGTAAGTTGGAGCATTTGATACCAGAACTGCCTAGTCTGCACTGACTTACCAATTAACTCCTTGGTATCAGGTTGTGCTTTGACTGACTGTGCCCTAAACAGTCTTGAAATTGTGCCCTGGCTCTAATTTCCCTCCCTCTTTTTCACCAAAAGTTGAGGCATTTGATTTAACAGCTTCCAGATTTGGACACAGTGAGACCAAGTCAAGGCACTCCAGTGAAGGCTTCCCAGTGCGAAGACTCGATTCTTCCACTCTGTCAGGAAAGCACTGGCTTGAGGACTCTGCAATACCTATTCTTTTATTTATTTATTTATTTATTTATTTGTTTGTTTGTTTATTTAGCTCATGGGACTAGTTCAGAGGGCACCCTTGCTTGTTTTATTTCACTAGGAGAGATCATTGCGCCCTTCTGCTGATATTTAATCAATTTTCTATGTAATTGATGCATTTCAAATTATGCATAAAATTTGGAGAAAGTAACAGGCATTTTCCGTAACTAAAGAAAAATATATGTGCAACCAAAATAACATATTCCTTTGCCAATTTCATCCTATTCAATGACAGTGGTGGTATTATCTCAAGAGACTATTGATTATGTAGCTCACTTAAGTGGACTACATATAGTTCAGCGGTCGGAGAAGGAATAAATTTTTATCCTCGGGTCTGTCAAGGGCTCCTTATGTTAATAATATGGGAACAGTCCTAAGCCTCTGTCTCCACAAAGAAACTTAAGATCATGTTCTCAAATGAACTTATTACGAAATAAGGTATGTTTTGTGGCTGTATGCTACACTGAGAGATACTGAGTATCTTATGCCAAGTACTTTGCCTCATTTATGTCAATAAAAGATCAATAGATTCTTGGTTGGTTTTTTTTTTTTTTAATGCTCTAGGATTACATACACTTAAATGTCATTATTAGAATGGAATTGCTCAGGGACATCTTTTAAAGAAATTACCACTGAGAAGGAACAAACCCTCTTTTTCACAATATTTACTGACTTTTTCCTAATGCTGGGCTAGAGTACCGGATTCCTTAAAACAAAAAAACCTCCACAACTGCAAACTATGTTCCAGCAGAAAGTGGAACAGTTCTGATACAGTGTTCGTATCAGAACACTGCAGTGCTACTCCCAGCCAGCTCTGCACCTAGGGAAGGGTCACAGGTCGTAGATTCATATTATCCAAGCTATCTTGAGGGATTTACCTCATCTCAGTGTAGCTGGGAGCGGGCTGCGGTACACTGCCCATATAGCTTATCCAAGAAGAGCACCCAGAGAGTCATTGTACCCCACTCTAACACTGATCTTGGATGGGGAAGAGCTCAGCTAAGAGGTACCTCTGACGTACCTTTCCACTGATAACAGAAGAAATCTGGATGAATGCTTTAGGCTAGATGGCCCATTTGGGAGCTGATAAAGTTAGACCCTTGATGACAGGGTAATTTTGAGATGAAATCATACCTCTGGGCATGCTTCCCAGTTCTTCCTGTTTAGGCAAATTAGCTTAAAATAGGTAAGAGAGATTGAGACCTCAACTAGAAAGCAGGGCTACAATCTCACCCCACTGGGTGCCACTGAAGATAAGAGTGGGTATGAGAGGCTCACAAACTGCTCCAGACATTATCTACATAAGGAGCACGTCTCCAGGAAGGGATTCTCAGCATCTTCTCATACAGGCAACAGGGTAAGCATGCTGCAAAGTAGAACTCTTCAAAACCACGCAGATGGATGCACAGCGACACTAGATTGGCAAAAACATTACTGGACTAAACTGGTAGCCGTAATTGTGCAGAAGTATGAAGTATGAATGACGCTTACTTTTAAGCTCTCATATTACTGAAAAGAAATATGCTCTGAGCTATGATATGGAGTTCAGGCAATGCTAAAGCAGCTTGCAAGGAATATATATCTGTAAGGGATTTTCTTCAGCAGGAACACTTTATAAGAAAACAACAAAACAGCAACTGAAATAATCACATAACTCTAAAGACTACTCGCATCATTAGTAACTAAAATACTTTGCCATTCAAGCCAGTAAAGTTACTCACATGCTTAGGCATTTTGCAGGACAGAATCCCCAATTTGTAACAGCAATTTATTTTGAAGCATTAACACCAGACATGAAAATAATGAAGCTATGCTACCAAACAGAAAATATTCCAAATGGAAAATGTAGGTGAAAAGATCTGTAGTTTGACTTGCTCTTCACATTTTACAATAACATAGAAAAGCTCTTAAATGTATTTTTAGAATATCTAATGTGTTAGCATAACTTCTTTTAGAAAAGGCTACTGATGCATATATTTGGGTTAGTGACAGAGAAGTCAGAAAAGCACATCTCCTAAATATTCTTTTATGTTAAAAAATTAGAAACCAATAGCCATTATGTAGTAAAGTAGTGTGCAAACTTAACAGGAAAGCCATTAAGCCACAACTGAAAAAGCTGAAATCAGCCTCTCTACATTTTTCAAGGAAGGCATGACACTTGCTGAATGGCAAATTCTTATAATTTGGTACTTAAATGTTAAGAGGAATTGTTACTGAGTTAACTGTATAATGGGAACAGTCCTGACAAAAAAAAATATGACCAGGTTTTACTTTTCATTAACCCTTCCCAGCCTGGACATGTTAGCGTGCAAGCCATGTAAAACACTGAATAAAATCTGCGCCTGAAGGTGTGTAACAGCAGCGCACGTGTGTGTGGCTTTTTGAGGGGAATTAAGGTTGATTTAATGAACTGCATGCACTGAAACTTACTGTGGCACTGGAACATGACATATTCGGTGGATTTTATATAGTGTTATAATTTTACAACTTTTATCAGTTGTCCCTCTGGTCAGTCCATTTTTCAGGAGGGAGGTAGGGTTATTTGTTTTGCAGAGAAAGTCCAATCTACAAAGTTATTTAAGTATTCAAAGGTGCGGATATGTGTCTGATGGACTTCATAATTCCTTTTTTCATCCTGTCAGGCACCTATCTACACCTTAAGTCTTCAAAAGACTTACGAAAGCGCGACCCAGAAGGTTACAGAGTGTGTGGGTCTGATTCTATTCTCACTTGACCCTGCCAGAAGTCTGCTCCGGCAAAGCTCCTTCTGATGACATGCGTCGCAAGTGAGAAGAGAAACAGATGCAGTAGGAAACACCCGAGTTAGAAACCTGCATCTTCTGTAGTGCCTCGCGTCGTAGGCAGCAATGGTGCCGGCTCTCCAGGTGTCCCTCTACTGAAGCTCTGGTTTAACAATGTGCCAGGCTGGGAAGGGTTAAAAGCGGAACAGAGCCCCAAGCTTTGAACTAGACAATTCTTGGAAGTGTTCTTTCGTACCTTTCTTTGTCATCTTTACTAACAGATGAGTCTCGTTTATCTACATCTCTATCTCTGTCATGAGCTGCAGCAGATGAACTGCGCTCCAGCTCTCCTGGCTTCAGCCAGGGCGGAGGGGTCGGGAACGAAGGAGGAGTTCGGTGCAGTCGGTTCCAGGGCTCGTGAGGGTTGCTAAAGCTCTGCATACTGGGGCCATCCTTGTGGCCGAACATTGAGTTGGGTGCTGAAATGGTGAAGTGGAAAACAAAAAGGTTTAAGAAAAAGGTATGCTCTAGTGAAGGTACTTACCAAAAAAACTTTTACAGCACTCAGAGTTAAAATGAATACATATTATTGGGAGCTGGAAAAGGAAAGGAAATTAACAGAGATTCATTAGAGGGTCTCATTCCTACAAGTGGGCAGGCATCTGACAGCTGTTTTAATTGGAAAGGGAAATGCTGTGGATAAAATTGACAAAGGATGACGTAGTAAGATAAAAGTGACAATGATCCTTATTCCAAACATTTTGGAGAGATCGGAAAATGACCATTATACGGACTATAAATAATGGAACTTGTTGTATTTGATCCTGAACCAAAGTAAAATAATATGCGACCAAAATCATGCCAGATTTGAAGTATGGAGAAAAAGAGTGATTTTTAAAAGGATGATCTTTTGTGACTGGCCAAATCTAGAGAAATGTTGATGATCCTGGACGAATAAATGCAGGTTAGTGATCTTTTCCAGGCACATGTCCTGGATTACTGGTGAGAAAGAAAAAAAAAACCAACAACAAAAAAGTTCCCATCCACAGCTAGAGATGCTGCACACATTAACTATTTTTGATCATGCAACAAAACCATGAGAAATTTCACAAACTCCTTACACTCACAGGTTCTATTTTTTTAATATTTTTTTCTCCTGAACAATGTAATGGTGACATTTAGCACTATGCTGAACCCAAACTATCAAGTAACTAATAGAAAACAATTTACTGATGACTAAAAGACTAAAAAATTCTGTTGTTTAGACAAAAAAAGGTTGCTTTTCAAATTCCCATCTCTTAGTGGTATGTGGTCTAAGCAACTGGTAAAAAAGACAGCAAACAGTCACCATCACTTGATATCCTGAATTACACAGCAAACAAGATTTCATAAACAAAGAGGTTACTCACTGACTGTCGGGTTGCCGAGTCCCCCGAAGGCATTACTACCCACTGCAGTGAGACCGCTGAAGGAAGCCGGGCGATTGAAAGGCTCTGCAAACCAACAGAAACAGCTGAAACTCGCTGGCACGTGGGCCATTATGACCCAGCATCAGCGTGTTATCCAGCTGCACTACGACTGCATGAAAACTCAAGTCTGTGCCCATCAGGAGTTGAACATCCTCCTCCCACAACACAGCAGTGATCATGAGGAGGTGTGATATAAAAGAACTTTATTTTTTTTTTTCTCCAATGACAGTATGCATGGGATCACCTTACTAGAAAAGTTTTCCCTTCAAAGAAAAGCAAGATGTTAAAATATACACAGTATTGAGGCCTGCACTTCTGCATAAGTAGCTACTTCATCTAAAAACTGCAAACATCTTCATTTTTTATTTCCTTTTATTCCCTTCCAAATCAATTCCATGGTCTTTCTCAGGAAATATCCCTGGCTAGCAAGACTATTATTAACTCTGGCAACTGTGCTCCAAAACACCTGCGGGCCATGTCTCCTAAACCATAGGCAGGATATAAATAAAATGTCCTATTATATTGATATGTCATGTTGACCTGAACATTTCATAACGCTCTTGATATTTATTGCTAATACTGTATGAAAAACTAGTATGGACTGAAAAATATGGGAATAATTTTTTTACTAGTTAATGCACACAGAATATAAATAAGTCATACGAAGCAAATTATCCTCTCACATTAATTTGGAAAAGTCTAATGATTTTGATGAAACTACTTCTGATAAGTATCACCACAGAGAAAAGGAAGACCAAACCTAGCATTTTCTACAGGCAGCTAAGTGCAGAGCAATAAACCTACACTGTCAGTTGGCTGTATCAATTTGTCGACCCTTCCAAATCCTCTCCTATGCAAAATAAAATGCCAACCTAGAGTCTTGATCTCTGATGCTCCCGTAGGCAGCAGATCACCTTACTGCAACACCAGGAAGTCAGAAGGGAAATAACAGCATTTGTTAACCTGAGTGGTTCCGTTTTTAAATGTGTATTCACGAATTTTCACTAACAGACACATCTGAGGCCAGATCACAAGGTTTTAAGGATATATTTGCCACTCATGTAAATGGAAAAGCAGACATCTAATACGAGTTAGGATAAGAAAGACCTCTATGAACCGAGCCTTAATCTTAAGGCATTATTTTTGACTGGTTATAAACATGACTACAGTGAAACCTAACCAGCCCTGTCACTCTGCTCCTCTAACGTCCAGACTGTTTTCAGAAATATTTCAAAACACGGTGTCAGTGATACTATTATGTGCATTTAGAACTGCCACTGGAGTCATGGCTAAAATGCGCAATCTGCGAAGATTAAGTAGGCAGGAAACTCAAAAAGTCTCCATGTGCTCAACCTTTAATGGTCTCAATGGTCAATGTGTGTTACTTCCGAGTTGTACCCAGCGTTATCTGTGCAGAGAACTTACCTAAGTGAGCAGCTGGGTTGAGAAAGTTGCTGTGGTGAGGTGGTGGGCCGAAAGGGGTGCCAGCTGGATGACCCCCACCTGCCAAAACAAAGCAAAAGGGGTGAATTCCTAGCAAAAGCCCAGGAAGGGACTCACTGTGCTCTGGGCTTGACTAGCATTTCTTAACTGATTGCTGTACACCGGGCAGGGGCTCTCAGGTCTGCAGCTCCTTTTCCAAATAGAGGTTCCCAGTAACAGTATAAGGGGTGAGTGGAGTGGGGAAATGTTTCAGTATGGACAAAAAAAGAGCACATAAACCACAGCATACTTCCTGTATAACCTGTCGTCTCTGTGATGCATCGGACATCACAGTGTGAAGAAACGTTCCTCCATTTACTACCTGTATGGCATTTCAGCAGGTTGGGCTTTTTCAAAAGTGTATAGAATAATTTTAAAATATTTATCAAATAGACTAATAGCCCCTGGCATGTCTTGCAGAGAGTTCATAAGCCAAAGCATATGGGAACTCCTTTGTAACACGGCAAGGATTAGCATTTTAATGAGCATGCCACAAGGAGGGGATCTCACTTCTCAGTACTCACTGGCTGTGGAGAAGAGAGTCGAGGGCCGGGCCAGGTCATGGGGGTGGTGGATGGCTCCAAAAAGGCTGGGGCCTGGTGGCCTGCTCAGGAATTCAGGTTTCAGGCCAAAGTCCAGCTTGTGTGGATCAGACTGCATCTGTTTCTGAAACGTAAAGACAGGATTTGGAAGAGACTGTCCTAAAAAATAGCAGTAAAAGACACTGTCAGAATGATACGGGTATAGCCATTTATTCTGATGAACTGATGTTTTAACAAGGATATGAGTTTTTGGGACCTCAAGCATAGGTGCACAGCTATTTTCCTGGAAGGGGGATTTAAGGTAGAGAGAGAAAATCTCAGGCTCCCAATGCCCATTGACCACAAATTTCAACAGTTTTCACATTTGCTCACATCCATCCCTCTGGAGCACAGCATTTCAGCACAGACCTGACCTAAAGAACAAACACAGCAATCTCTGAAGAGGCCTCAGACACTTCTTAGCTGTAAGAAAAGGTCTGTCTTAAAATAATAAAAGCATATCTGAAGAGAAATATGAGTTTGGACCTGATCCCAGGCGATCCCTGTTAAAAGCCGGGTGAAGGCATCACCTGTAGCAGGCACCGCTGCCAGCTGACCCTCTTCCCACTGCAGGATTCCCTCACTAGACAGCTGTGGCAGAGACAAGTCAGTGGGCATCAGAACCGTTGATGTGGCACGTCAGAGGCTGCAGCCCAGAAACGCCCGACGCAGCGCATGTCAGTGGCTCTGGCTGCGACCGAGCAAGCTCGGGGCTAAAATCAATCAAATTACAGATGAAGCGCGTTCGAGTCCAAAGAGCTGAAGCCCCATTTGGACTGCTGGCACTCCAAATCCAAAGCACTGCATGTCACTGTCTTTATATGGTATTAGAATCAGCAGACTTTGGTTTTTAAGGTAAATTTGCTGAGGTAGCCGTATTGTAAACGATACGTGGAGGAAGGATGGGCTCTCCTTTGTGCCATGCACTCGTTTCAGTGGGCCGTGCTTCAATAGTTTTATAGAATGAAGAGAAAAACCAAATTCCCGATTACCTGTGCTGCCAGAACTCCCTAAACACAGATTGATGATTAATTGTGCAGGTCAGCTGAAAGGATTTACAAATGTGTAACACTGAACCAGTAGATCTTAACGGCAATTCTGGAGCATGCTACGCTTTATAAATCAGTATTTAATACTGTGCCAGCTCAGAGTACAGACTATTACAATGATATAAATATGCATATTAAAAAGTTATGACCAAGTTAATGTGCGTGCCTAGTAGCTGTTTTTCAAGTGCCAGCAACATGTCTATGTTGCTATGAGAACAAAAAAAAAAAGGGAAAAAAAAAAAAAGAGCCAAAAAAAAAAGATTTATCAATGTTTTGAGATAATGGCCTGTAAGAATATTGGAATGGAAAAGATGTCCATGTTAAGGTCATGTCTTTTAAGGAAGTACACCGTAGTGCTTTGATAATCGAAAAAGGTTCAGAAAATACAAATGCCTCAGTTGAAGCCTGTGTGCCTGATTTTTATGCTGCGAACTCTTTTTATTCTTCTTTTTAACAACCAAGTTATAAACCTCTGACAAGCATGACTCAGAACAGCAAAATCTGGCTGAAACTTTAATTGCAGCCGTATGAAAGGTGCTGTTCTAATAATGAAAAAATCTCCTGTTTGAAGAGGAACAGGAACATCATGGATGTGTTAAAAGATTTTTGAATGTATTGATTTACCTTAAAATAGTACCAAAGAAAACTGATCAGATTTATTTCATGCCCAGTTACTGTTCAGAAGAGCACCCCTCCTGATGGAAATCCTTATGAATGTCTCTGAAGTCCACCAGAAGTGCAACACCTTAATTCAGGGCTCACTAAAATCAGTGTAAATGTCTGCACTAATTTCATGGCATGTTAGATCGGGCCATAAGGCCTTTCCTAAAAGAGAGAGGGCCAATTACGGACCATAAATCCTCTCTTGAATCCCAGCCAGTAACGCACTGGCCAGCCTAAGGAGGAGTGGAAAATTGCCTTGTGCCCAGAGCTGGTATGGAACGCTGGCTTCCTCCGAGAGATTCCCTGGGCGTGCAGACAGGTTGCGTGGGTCTGAACTGGGCGCTGGTGCAGTGGTACGGGCAGGCAAACAGCATCCACAGCTGCATACGATTCTTCCTGGGGTCAGGAAGGTTGTGTTTTAATGTTTCCTATCATGCCTGCTTCTTCAGTGGCTGCTGTTGCCCTCTGCAAGCAATTACTAGCAGTCCAAGTAGTTATCAGGTCTTCCATGCTTTGGCAAGTAGCCTGGTGGCATTGCATGCAAACCTGAAATCTCTGAGTAAATATATTGTATCCCCTGCTCTATGGTCAGGCAGCATCTTCAGCTTGTGCAGAAGAAAAGGCACCTTCACAACCTTGGGCTAGAAGGAGAAATTGTTCTGTATGAGCCTTCAGCCAGAGATTTCACACTTTGTGGTCACATGCAGAGGGGAGGACTTCGTTTTTGTGTAGGAGTCTGACAGCCCACGGGGACATAAACCAACTTGCCTTACCGACTGTAGACCATACCTAATTTTTTGACTGAACTGAGACAGTGAAATACATTTCCCAATTATTCTTGAAATTATCATCATGCATCGCCTCAAAGAGTCAAGTAACTAACATCCTTTCCTGTACTTCTGGGCTTTACTCCTGTTTTTTAACATGCAAGATAGAAAAGTATTAGGTAAAAGAAATGGCTGCATGAAAATGGCATTTATTATGAGTTATAAATACACCAGTATGACCTCTCTCTGAATATCAAATCAAGGAAGATACAAAGGACACAGATAGCATGGGAATAATAATTTCATTTCAAGAAAATACCTTTTCAATAAAACAAAAAAAAAGGACATATAACTCTCTAGGTCCATAATCTTGTCTTTTTTTGATAATGGGAAGATGAATGAAGATCACTAGCAGGGGAAACATAAGGAAGCGGAGAAAAGAGATATGTCTACTGCAGCAAATTAACCTGTCAACCTTGTTTAAAAGGGTTATTTTTAAACTCTATTAGCTGTAGGTTTTACTAGCTGTTCAATATCTTCATATTCTTACAGCACTACCTTACACAATTCAATTGCATACACAGACTGCAAAGTGCTATGGACTACTCCTTAATTTTACTTTCTATTGACTCCTGAAGTACAAGTATGAACAGTAAATAACACCAACTTTTCTTGACTTACTGAAAAACCCGAGGAGCAACAGAGAATTTTTCAGTGACAAGGTCAGCAAAAATATTATAAAGGGAAAGAAACCTTCTTCACAGAGTCCATGTGCAATGAAAATACAGTTAAGAAATGGAAATACTCTAACTATTAAATTAATAAATTATTTGTTTTTCTCGGACATCTGTTTCAGGAGACCCTAAACTGACCATGGCCCATACTCTTGAAGTCTCAAAGCATGTGTAACAAAAGAAGAGATTTCCACCCCCGTGCCTTCAGTGCAACAAGACAGTGTCTGGATAACACTACTCCACCTGAGAGGCTGTGTCTGCCTGACCAGCCCACACACGTACAGGTGCCAACCTCCAGCTATGGGATGGGTTGTGAGAAAAGACTGATGGAAGCCTGTGTGGCCATGTTGGCTAAAGCACTGTGGGACAGGAGAAATCTTCCTGTGCCCTCTTCTGTCCGTGACCATTAATAAGAGGAATGAGATACCTGTGTCTAGCTTTTCCAGACTTGAAAAAAAATAATCTTGATATGTTTGTGTCCTCAGCCATAAATAAAAGCAATGTTGTAGCTCACAGGCACACCCATTTAGCTCTTCCTAGCTACAAGCTGGTTGTTATAGTCCAAGATCTGGTGTCCTTGCTCTGTGGCATCACAGACATTCCTCTGAGACTCTACCTTTAGGTTTTTAATTCTGATATGCCACCACTATGAAACAGAAGGTTATGCTATAATGCTACATATGGTTACTTTAACAAGACATTAGCTACTGTATAGAACTGCTAACAGTGAGAGGCAAACTGTTGCTCTTGCAGGTTTGCACTGGGCAATTCATCTGAAATGCAGGTGTGCCCAGAAGACTGACCTTGACTTTCTGTTGGTGATGGTATATCTGCCAGGCGATGTGAACATGCATAGCGCACCACTTTCCAGGTTTCTGGAAAAAAAAAAAGGGATACAACATGAATAGGTAACTTTCAAATACCTGTGATGTTTCATTCTAGTTATAGCAGCTCTCGCCTACTCTTAGCCCAGTCTGTTTTGGTCTAGGGGATTCCCTACGCCAAGACAACCGAAAGCAAAGGGTCTCCCTTCAGTGCTTTCCCCCTCCGTCCTCTTGGGAAACCAGAAATGCAAAGGATTTGTCCCTTGCTAAGAAGTTTATCTGGATATCCAGGAATGCTCCTGGTCACTCTTCTCTCCAAAGAAACCCATGCTGGGGTTTTACGAACTCTTGCAATCTTCTGATGCCACCGGCTGAGAATGCAGCTTCTGTTGTCGAAACCCATGAAACGGTCAGCGAGTTCGAAGTTGCTCTGCATAGCTGGATCGCTTCACAACCATACACTGACTTCATTTCCAAAAGTGCAGCTATTCTAAGACTAGCCTTTCCACCAAAAGATGAAAATGAAAGCACTTTAAAAGATCACTCTGGTTTTCAAGATGAATCTGACTCCCTCATTTATAATTGTTGGTCTCTATCTCCAAATCTTTGGCTTACAAATATACTGAAAAAAATGGAGGTCAGTCAATTCTCTCTGTTTGGGAAGGCTCTTTGCATCCTTCCTGTCACCATGCTGGGGAGGAGAGAGGGAAGAAAGAACCAGAGAGTGCTATTTGGGTTTTTTTGTTGATTTTGTACTCTGTTTCCAGAACACCTGGAAACCTTGCCTGAAAAAGATTCATTCAGGATATACTTTCTCCAATTTCGTTATTTAAAGATGTATAGTTGGCTGCACAACTAACGATTCCTAGATTTAAAAATAATCACAGGAATTCCAGAAGCTCCTCGAACTACTGGTAACTTAAATGCTTCACAAACTATGGCATATGGTCTGCCTTCTATTTCTAGGTGTATATCAACAAACTATTAAAACCACAAAAAATTAAAACCCATCTCACACACACACTCTCCTAAACTCAAGCCTTTTGCTTATTCACAGCAGCTGGCTGTGCTAATGATTTAATGAGTTCACTTGGTTGGTACGATCAAAATACAGACCTTACTGAAAACGTTGAAAAATTTAACAAAAAAACCCTTTTGGATCACTGATGCATGGAAAGAAGGACTGACCACGCTGCTTAGGAAACACGGTGTAAAATACCCAAGACGAAACATGGCGTATTTTTATAATTAGTCTGCTGCTTTCACCCGGTGGGGACTGAGACGAGCTTGACAAACTGTATCACAAGAAGATTTCTTACCCTCAACATGGGCCTGAACGGATCTGTCAACTGTGAAGAAGAAATGACAGCTTGGTTACATGCCTGTCACTCAAACAATTGCTCTAATTAGCAAATTTGTATTGCTTCATTAAGAGATGAAATTAAAATGTTATAATTTTACTTTCAAATGAAGCCCTCCCGGATAATAATTAGTCCTTAGCCTCCGTATTGGAGCCCGTCTCCCTCCCCCCATGGCTGTTGTACCTAAGTGTTGACAAGCAACTAAACAAGCCTCACATAGAGCGCTCTGTCCTCTGGCATCGTCATTAATTTGTTGATTTAATGCTACAAAAATGGCTGGTTAACTACTCTGCAGAAAAACACAGATCTATCCTTTGGGCAAACTTCTGCTCTCATCTTTCAAAGCTTCTTGGCTTGTGAGAAGGTTGGTTAGTGGACAGGGCCACTTTTTCACAGGCTGGATCCAGCAATTGGGTTGGAACGGGCTGGAATGGTGTTTCGGACGTGCCCCTGCACACTAGTGGCAGTGTCTGTTCAATGGCTGTGGCGTTGTACATTCAAACAGCCATCACTGCCTGCCTGCTTGCCTGATGTGTTCTCTGTCACAAATTGGCTTTGTCTTAAATGTTTTACACATTGGAACAGATGTGGGTAAAGAGCAGCTGTATAAAACCCCAATTTTCTCATTATTTGTGTGGCCTGGCTATCGTGGGTAGATTACTTTCTTATTCTCCTTTTTTGCTCTTAATTCATCAATTAACGCTGGAAAAGAAATTCAATTTATCGGATATTTCTCATTTGTTTTGGATTTTCTTTTTTGAAATGCAATACTAAAGGAGATTTATAGGTGTAAGAGGTACTTTGCAGACTCGGTGATGGCACAATACATCATCCTGAAATAATCGAAACTCCACTACAAGTTGAAAGGGAACATAAAGCTAAATGACTTAATGATGAGAGGCTCTAGTTATCTTTTCAATTAGATGAAATAAACAGAAAAGAAAAAACATGGTTCCTTTTGGCATAAAGCTCAACTACAGCACCAATTCAGAGCAAACCAAACTACTGGAACTCGGCACACCCCAAAGAAAAGAGCTCTGTTGTACTCAAAAGTCAAGTCATATCACAACACGGACTTTCAAGGAGAGTCCCCCACTGCTTTTGTCAGAGAATTCTGCTAAAAATGTGGCTGCATGATGTTCCTCAGTGCAAACAACGTATATTAATTCAAACATGCAAACAACCCACGGGCTTTCGGAAAGAACAGAATAAGGCTGAGACAAAATGCTGAGCCAAGAAAATGCTCTTCACATACACCAGAACTCAAAAATCCGGAGGCGCCAAGTGATCAATAAAGTGCATCCGTATTTCACTGGTGCAATCAATGATACAGTAACCAAGGGAATAACTGTCATTACCCACATTAAAAACAATTACAGAGTATAAACATAAATCTTGAAGAGGTTGGTACACTTCTACGCTGAATTGGACTTTCATGCCGTTACCCCTGGGCTTGTGGGCATGCCTGCTGACAGCAAGGAAAGAGCTCTTCCACTGCATTGCATCTGTTTGCTTTTGCTAATGATGATCAGAAGTAAGGATCAAGACTTAAATTGTTCTCATACAACTTCTCTAGCTCTCATTGACTTAAACGATTCAGACTAAGCTTTAGTTTTAGGATGTTAATTTGGATGTATTGAAGATGGTAGCTCTAGCATTCAAGGTTTTCAGAAGGAATAGCTTTACTTGAGAAAAGAATAACGTTTTCTACAGACCCGTGGATCTTTCTGTAGAAGGGTATGTGGGACGGTTCCAGGTCTGGCTGCAACATCAATAGGATTGGAAGTCTAGAAATATCACAAGGAAAGACAGCATTAATGAGTAAGACAATGCATAAAAGAAACTAGAAAGTGAAAAATAATACTTCTTCATCATAAACACTGCCTAAGCAATGAAGATAAACTTTTTAAGAGGAAAGGATAACCATTATGATTCACTTACTAATATACATACTATTATCTCAATTTTCAAACTTTCATTGTCCACGAACTTCCTGTTACTTAAAGTAATCTGAAACATGTGAAGAACAGCAACCGTTACACTGGAAAATCATTCCACTATCAAAAACCTGATATGCAACCAACTTATGATACAGCATCTAAAGCAGAGTTTGAAGGACCAAGCTTATGCTCTGCTGCTTATCAGTAATGCTCTGGAACTGCCTAAAACTGCTGACCTGACGGTCAGCACACAAAGCATCAGTCACCTCTTCAGTCACTGCACAAGGATCTCAACTCCATCCACAATGAACCATTACCATATGGACATTTGGAAAAGGCAACATCCAGTCGAAAAAGAAAAAAGCATTTCCCATTATTTGAATGCAAATATTCAGCTAATATAACAAATGCATGTTTGTGGGGAGAAAAAAAAAAATACTACATTTAAACAGAACATCTTCCTGCGTTACAATGAAGAAAAAAAGAAATCAGATACAGTACAACTAACTATTAAGTAACAGAGTTAACAGTCTGATTACCATACATATGAAGAATTCCACTAATGAGCTGCAATTTACATATTCAGCCATTATAGTGGATGGGCCAATTTAAGAAAGAAGGTGTCTTCTCTGCAGAAATCTCAGTTCTGATTTCAGTCTTTAGTTGCAAAGACTACAGACTACAGAATATGATTTCCTCCCACTTACAAATCAAGAGTGACTTCATGAGAACAATAGGAAAAAAAAAAAACAACAAACTCATCACATTTATCTATCCTAGCTATCACAAATGAGAGAAGAACTAAATCAGTGTATTCCATTGTGGTGGAGCTGTGGGATAATTATGGAAATGAGTAAACAATAATGATCATGATTTCTTAAAACCTTGATTATTACATGACCTTACATTAATGCGTACTACCTGAGAACTAATTATCTTGCTTCTAACGATGCCATTATATATAATTTTTTTCAAAAATGTATGTAGATATATCTGAACCTAATGAGAAATAACTTCTCTTTGTAGTAAATTTGGAAAAAGCCAATTGTCCTCTGTGGAATTAGGCTGTAACTCAGATGTCAACTGCTCCAGAATCTCAACCACATTCCAAGGCTAAACTGAACGGGGCTCACATCACCAGTGCAGCTGAGCAGTAACAGACATACAGATAATTCCTGTCTTACCTTGGGTTGAAATGCTCCTTGTAGTGAGCCAAAGGGGCCAGTTGGAGGAATCATGGGAGGAATACCTGACACAGCTGGAGGATAGGAGTGAAACAGCTGTAACAAAAAGACAGAAGAACGTTAACTAGAAGCACGGGTCAAAATGAAGTTACGAAGTTGAACAAGACAGTGAACGCATTCCTGATATTAGGGAAATGGTACATGGAGAAAACTGAGAAGCATTGAAGAAGTGATCTCGTTGCAACGATGTTAGTTAAAGCAGTCAATGAAATGGTCACAAATGTCGTGACGTTTAGAGCTTAAAAGCAGTTCCCAAATCGTAAAGCCAGCAACCTGTCCCCTGGATTAGGCCATCATCGCGTCAGAGAGACTTTTTTTTTTTTTCAATTACTAATTTTTAAATCGGATAGAGGTTTTAAATGGTTTCAGTTTGCAAACCTTTTAAGGAGAAAAGGCAGAATACTGAGCCAAGTAAGACTCAGAAATCTACCATTTAAGTGGAAAAAAAAACCCTTACAAGTTCTAGGATATTGTATCATTAAAACTCCATTAGTACGTTAGGATTTTAATAGTATCTGTAGGAAATGAAGAAAATATGCACAATTCTTACTTCTTTAGCCTGAGAGGATATCCTGCCACATCTAATATTAACAGAGACAATCTGATTTGTTAAAACTTATTATTTAAACGAAATGTTGAGGCAGAACCCCCACAAAAATTTTGGGTACTTTTTTATACAGACTACTAAGCACAAAAAAATGCACATTTCCACTGACCTCCCTGATCCTAATGCATCTGTTATACGAAAAAAAAAAAAAAAGCTGTTTTGTGCTATTGCAGACAAACATATGGGACACAAGCGAGTAAACCACAACACCCAAATCCTATCTTGTCTCTGTGGTCTGGCTGTGAATCTTTTACTCATGCTGTAATACAGTTAACTTGTCCAATTCCACAGAAAATGCTGAGATCACACACAGAATTGCTTTCTGGTAGGAGTCGGGGGTTCGAAACATCACATTCCAAATACATTCTCACTGTGAAACCTCAGGATCTAACAGGGGACGGCTGCTACCTCCACTGGTACTGCCACCCAAAACCCGAAACAGGTTAAATAACCCCTGATACAAACGCGCCTCTGAACACAGCTGATCAAAAATCAATCTACTGTATGCTACTTTTAAGATCAAAATAAATGAGTTAATGGCCAATTGAACAGAAGCAGGACTGGGCAAAGTGAAAGACTGGACATGCAGAGTGGGCAAACACTGAGAAAATCACATCCCAGAGTAAATCAGTATCGCAAAGTTTTGATGAATTTGTTTATGCCAGGCATATGCGTGCGCTTAATCCTTTTTCCTTCCACAAGCTTATCTTCGCCAGGCATATGCGTGCGCTTTTCTTAATCCTTTTTCCTTCCACAAGCTTATCTTGGAAGGTCATTTATTCACATTACACTTACTGAAAGCTGAGAATATATTTCAGTATTTCAGAGGTATCAAAAGATTTTTCTGGTTTTAAAGCATGGCATCAAGTCTCCTTTCATAACACTTGTTGTTTTTAATTCTATTTAATTTGAACATGCTCCATTCAATGACGCAGAAAGCATCTGTAGATTAGTTGATACTGAACTGTAGGCATTTGAGAAATCATTAAGAGACACGTGTCCTCATTTACAAGAACTTTTAATGAGTAAAACGTGGTTTAAATCCTCCAGTGTCTTCTGCATTTAATTCTGCGTGTAATGGACTAATTCCAAATGATGGAAAGAGATGTAACACTTAATATTCTATTTGCTATGACTAATAATAAGGAATCCTTTCCTTATAGTTTTATAACAACTGGTAAGTTAATTAAATGTGACCTTTCCTCAAGGTCAGAACTATTAATAAAATATAAACATCATATCTCCAGGATCTCTTTGTATCTGTTAAATTCCTCCACCTTTCAAAATACATCGTTCATAGTCAGTGTTTCCTTTTTCTCCAGCATCCACTCTCTTTTGAGCAACATCTTCCCCTTCTAGCTTGCTTTGGGGAACAATGCAGCAACCACAGCTTTCCTGGGGCCAGGGGCAATGCAGTGCTAAGCTGGACCCAGCATTAACTGGAGCTAAAAGTAATGGCTCACTGTGCTACAGTAAGGCCACCCACCCCAAAAAAAGAAAAAATTTTAAAATCAAAGATGCCAAGAAAGAAATCTGTTTTAAAGCTCTACATGAGCTTCTGTGAGCTGTGTTCGGGCCCTACGCTAAAGTAGATTAATCGATTTTAACTCTCAAACAGACCTTGTCCTCCTGCAAAGTTCACTTACAAGCCTTAAAAACATTGCCAGCTTTTTTTAAGATATCTGAATTCTTGGTGTGGATCTATAGGGGAAACTCTTGTCACAAGGAAGAACTCTATGGACGTGACACAGTTCCACAGTATTTCTCCAACAGGAAAAGCCCTATCAGGTATGCACTTATGCCAGCACAAGTACGCTTGTTGATACTGCAGCTGCTCAGGCAGCTGCTGCAAGCAGTTACCTATATATTCTATAGGCATAGCAGAAGAGAGCGCTGAAATGCCCTGGCCAGTCTGGCCTTGCTGCAGTTACGGACCGTTGACCCAATGCAACTTGTAGCCACCACGTTGATCACCTGGTAGTTGCTTGCGCAACATCCAACAGGCGCAATGGCGATTGTTTTGCAACCACTTCACAAGGACAAAGCTTTTCCGAAGGAAAGGCCGGAGAGGTGTAACGGACCAGATCTCTGCTGGTTCAGTAGCATGGCCCAGTGCCTCACACAGAACAACGGGAAGCCTTCCCTTGCTTGAAAGGGGGTAATACCATGACCTTTACAGTTCAGGCAACTGCCAGATTTATAAGAGATTATGTCACTGAATTTGAAAAGCAGATACAGTTGGAGACTTTTGCGATGTTTCCTATATTACATGTCAACTTCTGTGCTTTATTTGTCTGAAATTCATTTACCTACTTCCCAGTGCTGTGTTCTTGCCTGAATGGACATGCCACACTGCTGATAATACATCTTTTGAATCCCTGTGAAGCTCAGCAAGTAAGAGTGCAACAATTTTGCAAACAATGATGCAAATGAGCAACATTAACCTTGTGAGTAAAAGTGATTATCCCAGGCTTAATTGTTTGCCTAATGCTCCTAGAGCTCTGATCCTGCAAATGCTCTGGTAGGGTTAAAGTAACTCAAAGGAGGTGTCAGAAATTAACAGGACTATTCGGATGGACTCCAGGCATGAGCTGTTAAACTGTGTTTAATTGGTACAACAGAAAGCATCACGTTGTCATCTTAACCAGTTTTTTTTTGCCCAGTTCCGCTTCTAAGCAAAACCAACACATAAAGCCAAGTGCTTTGCAAATTTCTGAGTGCTGATGCAGTACTCCTTCTCTCATCAAAATATCACTATTGGATTTAGAAATTCTTGTCCTACTCAGTCAGACACCTGCCTCTGCCAACATGATGAAGGAAATGCAACCCATATTTCAGCAGCAAATCAATCAGTAGATTCAAACCCTTAAGAGCAGAAGCTTTACAATTAACTGGAATATTAAAAGTCAGTTCATCTCAATAAACAACATTTTTGGTAGCTCTTATATAAACACATCTAGTGCATAGCTGGATTGATATCGCTGTCATCCAACAGAGCTTTCAAAACATAACAAGCTCAGTGGATCAGATGTGCCTTTGAAATCTGAAGAATAAGACAAGTTTTCAGGTTTTATAAAACAAAATATGATATATTAGGAAAACTATTAGATTACCTATCCCTGAAGGATTTGTATGATAGTTTGTCATTTCATTTCAAGTTTCTTAGGAAAAACATCAGTCTAAGGGTTTGTGGCACAACTGAAACACAGTGATGAAATTACTCTCTCCTGCTTCATGTAACAGAGTCAGCTCTTCTGTCTCATCTTTTTCACATCAAACTTGTCTCCAAATGGTGTATGAGCAAGAGATCTTTTGATTGGAAAAGCTGATACTGCATCTTTATCAGAAACAAGCACCACGAATGCAAGCCTTCGAAAGCCAAAGCAACCAAGAACGATAATGGTAAATCCTGGAGTGATGATTAGGGAGAGATTCGACATTGTGCCACTGATTGAGTGGTGATCCCAGCCCACCACAGAAAAGCAATTAAGTCAGTTTTAAACAGAGTAATAAAACTCACACTGTGACGGTAGAAGGGGTCAACTTTTGTAGGGTATTTGTCAAACTGCAAAGGGATCAAAGCACAAACTAGTTACTTTATATTTCCTTGCTTTACTTCTGTTGGTAAAATAGAAGACTACTTCTCTATCATTTAGCAACCAACAGAGGGGAAAAAATATGCAGAAAATTAGTTTCCGGTCAAACTGTTTGGGATTTTTCTTTCTTCAAGATAAACCAAGGTCTTTATGAGACAGCAAAAAGGAGGAGGCACCAGAGTGCACCACTCCAAGCACTGGGAAGTCCCACTTACGAGCGCCCCTTCGGCCAGCAGCCTCGTCCCTCAGCCCTGCCCTGCCACCTGAGCCTGTCACACGCGTGACAATCGCGAGGAAGGGACAGTCCTTCCTCTCCTACCCAGCCACACCTGGGCAGCAGCATACTCCTTCCCCGCAGCCTGGCAAATTCTGAAATTTTCATAATAAAGAATAGAGTTGTGCTCTACTTATCCTCACATTTCTGCCTGGGGTACGCACCATGGGCGGTGCTGGCGTTGGCATGATGGCAGTGGGTGGGATGGCGTGAGGGAAAGGCGTGAAGGTGTGCTGGTGTGTGTGTTGGTGTGTGTGCTGGTGCTGATGCTGGTGCTGGTGGAACTCGGTCCTCAGGTATGGCGGCGGGCCCAGGGAGGCCCCGCGATCCGCGCTCTGCGAGGCCAAAAACCGCGTGTTTAGTTCCTGACGGAGAAGATCTTGTTCTGAAATACAAACAGCAAAACAACCCCTCGTGAGCTCAGGGACTTCTCCAGACCTTGTGCCACTTTTTGCTGGCTGTGGTGTGGTAGCAACGTCATATTGAAAACTCCCAGGTGGTAAATCACGACATTGGACAGGGTAAGAAAGTGCCCTCAGATCTTCCCCAAAGGCCTCAGAGACAGAAGAAAGTCTCCATTTCCCCTCTCTCACCAAGCCTGTCTTCACTACAGCATTCCTCTGAGCATTACTCCGAGGGTTCTCCCTAAATTTGGATGGACAGGGACATAGTCCTAAACAGGTGAGGAGGTATGGGTACACTGGAGTGAGTAAACATGAGTGGCTGCTCCCAACACGAGTAGCCTGCTGCATGGACACAAAACAATGTTTTTACTGAAATGCTGATAATCCTTCATTTTCTTTCCCCAGTTCCCTCTTAGTGACCTGGGAGGAACAGACATTTTACATCTCCCCACAGTCCAAGTCTAAGAGAGCACAATTTTCTCCACTGATAAAAATCTCAACATTTCCTTCCCACCCCCAAAATGTTGCACGTACACGAGCTCAGGACCACTGTGTGCTCAGCCACTGAAGACCTTCCCTCTGGGCAGGGAAGTAACGCTGAGCACAGACCACAGTTGAACCACAGACGTTCACTAAAAGGGTCACAGATTCTGTGCGGGCACATTATGAACTCTACTGTGTTTTTACCAGGGGGAGAAAAAAAAAATAGACATGGAAAAAGCACAGCCTTCCAAAAATACACATTCCCAGGGCAAAAGCAAAGTCATCGGGTATGTCTCCGTGGTTTTTGACTTTGATACCACTCTGGATTGCTCAGCAATGAGTACAGCCTCTACCCATCCAACAGCCCTCATCGCATGCACCAAGAAGAATTATTCTGACTAAAACTGGAGAATCAGCTTCATACGCTGCACTAGACACGCTTGGGCCACGACGCGTCCGTCTCTTACCTGAGTAAGTACTACCAGCTGGGTGTCCTGGAACCTGCAGTGTCCCTGACGTCAATGGAGGTGGAGGAGGCAAAGCCGTAGGAGGGGCAAACATATTGGGGTGATGTGGGTGTGCGGGGGGCTGAAGGGTGGGCGTGAAGGTGTGCAGCGGGCTGTGGCTGGGCAGAGAGAGGGGGAATGGTGAGGCCGAGGGATGGTGGGATATGTGCGGAGGAGGGGCCTGAGTCTTGGCAGGAGTGCTGCTTCTGCTGCTGCTGTTAATGAAAAGAAAAGCAATTAAGCATTGCATGGAAGAGAGAAAAGCTCCAAACGTACACGTACACAACCCCACCAAGCCACGTGGCTCACGTTAAACACCGTACTAAGCTATGTATTACAAATGCAAGTTACTATTCTACTTCCCTAACAATATCACCACGATACTCCTTTCTTCACTAATCTGCTGTATCTTTTCTAGGATCTTTTACTTCCTGTGGTCTCTCCATGCCAAAACCCAAGACGTTTTCTCCCTCTCTGTAAGAGGGCGATATTCTGTCCTCCAACAACACAGGAATGACACACAACGGAATATTCAGCCCTGTGCGTTAGTTACTTAATTATCAGGTCCTTTCTTAGTACTTAAAGGGGGCCTACAAGAAAGCTGGAGAGGGACTTTTGACAAGGGCATGTAGTGATAGGACAAGGGGCAATGGCTTTAAACTGGAACAGGGGAGATTTAGATTGGACATAAGGAAGAATTTTTTCACTCAGAGGGTGGTGAGGCACTGGCACAGGTTGCCCAGAAAAGTTGTAGATGCCCCATCCCTGGAAGTGTTCAAGGCCAGGTTGGATGAGGCTTTGAGCAACCTGGTGTAGTGGAGGGTGTCCCTGCCCATGGCAGGGGGGTTGGAACTAGATGATATTTGAGGTCCCTTCCAACCCAAACCATTCTATGATTCTACATGACTGCTTCCAATTTATGTTTTCAAGCAAACGAAGCTCAAAATCAGTGATTACTGCGTTAATAAAAGTTTAATTTTTTTTACTATAACTTAGTAAGATGAAAGACTGCAGAAGAAGTGAAACGAAGTTGAGAAGGCAACAATGGATATATGCTTATTGTACAGTTAACGCCTCTCTCTATCCCCACAATATAAAGAGATAAGACGAGTCAGCAAAATAAATATTTGCAATTACATTGGTAGCAATTTTTCCGGTTTCATTTTGTACTAATGAGTATTTAAAATATATTCACATAGTGCTTAATTGTACCTGTCATTATTTCAAGTAATGACACGCTTCTGTTGCAGTGACTTTTAAAGACAAGCAATACTGACTAGGTTAAAAATAAATCAGTCTTCAGCACCTCCCAGTCTTTAGTCAAACCCTGAAGCAACTGTAATGCTGTTCACCAGGTCTTGAAGGATACCATCTGTCTGCTGGAAGCTCACATTTGGGGAAACATGACCTCGTGTCGACAGCATTAGCTTACAGTAGGGGAAACCTGAGGTCCTTGACTCACAGAGACTTCACTGTGAACATGTGGTTTAATCTCTCTGTTCATCTTTGTCATCCCCTATAAAAGGTGAGGTTTATCTCACTGTGGCCAGGTGAAGAGAAAAACACTGAAGACTGCAAGGTGTCAGCAGCGCAGGAAAAAATTAAGCTTTAAAGTCACTGGTGCAAGACCATTTGCACTGGGCTGTCAGCAGGGCCAACAGCAGCTGTAATGCATTCCTGGCTCTAGGGCATGTCAGTAGTTGGAGAAAGTAGATGATGTTTACAGGGATGGGAGAGTAAAAGAAGTTAACCTTCAGAGAGCAGCCCAACCTGCAAGAATTGGGATCTCCTTCTGGTCTATATCGCATAAAATCCCCTCCAAAAACCCGAGTACACAACGACAGGCAGGAAAAGTAAAAGCAAATTAAGTGCTTGAGAATATCTAGCATTGATGGGAACGCTAGATCAGAAATAAAGTGATCCTGGCTGATTTCAGGCGAAAGGCACAAAGTTCCCTTATTTCCCAACGATGGGATGGGATGTGCTGTTACTTCTCTCCTTGAGCTAATTCATCTCCACTTCCTCCAGGCACCGTAACACATCACCACCAGGCAAAGACACGGGGTTTCGGTGCACATGCGTTCCTGTTCACCCACCTTAAGCTGTTGAGGCTTAAACTGCTGCTGTTATAGGCAGAGAGTGGCTGCGAGAGGCTCTGCGAGGCTGGATGGGGCTGCACTGGCGGGAGGTTCGGATGAGCTGGCTGCACCGGCGACTGCGGCCGGGGCGGGTGCTGGACGGGCGGCTGCGGCGCGGGCGGACGGGTGGCTTCTTCCGGGGCCGGTGGCAGCTGTGCGGCTTGCGGCG